GGTACCCCTTCCCTCCACCCCGTCCCACTGCCCCCCCACACCCTTTGTCCCCTCTCTCTTTTTTTTTTTTTTAATCTCGTAAAGTCCATGGTGTTGTAGAGGCCAGTCACTGAGTACACAGTGATCACCTGGAGCAGTAGGCCGTGGGTGTCCTGAATATGAGACCACCTCCCATCCCATCCTCATGTCAATACTCCTAGCGCACCCTCTATCCCACTATCCTACCTCAGTGTGACCAGCACTCAGAACCATTACCCTACCAATGGCCAGGTAACTTGGACCGAACAGCAGTAATAGGCACCAGGGCTGATAGGTTGCCCAGCCCTGGTGAAAGCGGAATCGGACGAGCCTTGTCAAACGGGAACTTCGGACGCCAGGCCCAGACAATCTACTACAGGCCCCAAGAGACTTTGGGCCCTAGGTTTCAGACAGGGTAGCACCCATTGAAGCAGTCTTACCGTCCTTCCCTAGCTTGCCCAAGGCCAGGCGGAACTCGGACTGGCCTGAGCGACTTATACCCCTACCCTTACCCCAAGGTCCAAGCCTTATATATAGCCACTAGACAGTTCTATCCAAATATCAGTAGGAACTCCAGTGGCCCATACCTGTCCCTACTGCAGATACTAGACCCCACCCAGTGACTAGACCCCCCCAGTCTGATAGTTGTGTAGTTCGCAACGTATGTGGATACACGAAGGCTGTGTATGCTCCGTGTATCTATGTATGAAGATGTACAGACAGCACTGTGTGTGGAAACTTGTGTATGTAGCCCGTAGGCCATGTGTAATTCACAAGCTATGTATATGCTCGAAGGCTGTGTGTGCTCTGTGAATCAATGTATCGAGATGTATAGGCAACATCATGTGTGTATATCGAAGAGAGAACGGGGTAAGCTGGACAAGGACCCCCCCAAGGTCCGAACCAAGCTCGAACCCGTGACCTTGTAACATGTAATCGAATGACTCTACCATGTGAACGACTAGTGGAAATGGCACGAACATGTGATATGCCAGGCTGGGAAGATCAACAGAACACCCGAGACCAACACCCCCAAGCAACCCATGTGAAACCCAGAACCAACATACAACACCATGAGCAACCCTTGGGTGGCGCGCAGGCATTGTCTATAATAGCTAACCTGCATCATCCCAATGGGGTGTGTGTCCAGCCGTGCGTCAATCTAACGCCCTACCGGTGTCCATGCGCAAGGCTACGGATTTGAACCCGCAACCGCATACCACAATGCGCATTTCCAACCCGTGCTCTAACCTTCTCTCTAACTCCTCCCTCCACCCCGCCTCATCAGAGACCTCGCCGTCACCCACAGCTCCCCCCCTCCCAGATCAACCGTGCCCCTCCACACCCCGCCTCCTTAACAACCATTACCCCCCCACCCCAGCCTCACCGCTGCTGGCCCTTGATTGATCCTCCCAACTCCGCAGCGAGGAGGTTATCTATACCTGCCCCTATCCACCATATTCGGCCTGGCCAGGCATGACTTCAGGATCCAGCATAACTGAACAAAGTCAGAACATCAGGAATCATCTGCGTTGTCTGCATTGTCTGCATTGGTCTGAGAATACTTCATAGGCAGTATAGAACAGCCAAGACGATACCACAGCCGGGGAGCTGAGGGAGGAAACATGGAGTCACAGTTAGAATATGGTCTCATCTCCCCTGCCTCTGTAGTAAGAATACACCATCAACATCACTGTATAACTATCACACAATGGACACAAATGATGCAGGTTTGCCCGCAAGAGGGAAAAAAAAAAGAAAAAAAGAGGATGCTGACACAGGGGGGCTGCGGACACCTGGCAGTAATCTCGGGAAAATCAACAGACAACTTCTAGGTGGGGGCTGGGTCAGTTGTCAAGTAGGAGCCCCGCGATGGGAACACGACTATTTGCAGCCCTAAGGGATACTGGGTGCTCCAGAGTAGAATAGAACAATGACTAAAGCTTCAACATTGACCTGCATTGTTGTATTAAACCGCAAGTACACGGCCCCAGCCTTGCAGAACGTTTTTGTCGCCACAAGCGTTACTCCGAGGGGCTGCACGGCGTGGGGCGCCGTTGAAAACAAAAATCGGCGTCCTCCGAAGTGGTGGCGGGTTCGTGCTGACAGCTGCGGGCCGATGTGTGGTGTACTGGTGCTGTAAAGGGACACTGGACCCGGTTTCCAGCAGGTGTCACTCCCTACCAATAGATGGAGCAGCCCAACAGCCAAGGCCTCAATTCTGGTGGTTCTGTTACCACTGCCGGGATAGTGGCCTTGCAAAACGGCTTTTGCAAAGAAAGCCACCTGAAAAAAAAAAAAAACATTTGCATTCATTTCGATTCAGATGCTCCTCTTTCTGACATCGCAAAGAACCTGGCTCCACTACACAATGACCTACATGTATTCTTGCCCCGATACATTCACATCAGTCCAACATGTGAATGTATCAGTATTATTACGAGTTTTAGAAACATGTAGTATGCTGTGTACTGTGCCCAGGCCCAAGTACTAGACTCTCTACTTTGAGGGCAGGAAAAGATAGGGCCTTCACAGCAAAGACTGAAGGGGCATGGAAAGAACTGCGTTCCGTGCTCCGAAATGAACCGGACCAGGCGAAGAAAAGGGAGCTTGTCCGAACTTTCTCAGAGACCTGGATAGATAAAAACGAAAGGTTGTGCTTCCTGGATGACCGCACCAACCTTCACTGGCGACCCTGGTTCTCAACAGAAAGACAATGGGAAAGACTACCGAGACAACACTTCCAACTCCCCCATATGCCGACGAACTTCGTTCTTCTCCCGGACATGGGCTCTCCCATCCCTGCCCCGGTCAACCCT